TACATTTATTTACCAAGCTCTAGTGTGTGAAAAGTCTAAGATTAAAGTACTAGCAGTTTCAGTTTGATTAGGGTACTCTTGCCTATACACAGACATCTTTTAAGCATGTGTGCATATAACAGCATGAAAAAGAAGTGTATGAGACCTCTTTAATAAGGGCAGTAATATCATCCACAAACCTTATATTGTCATAATAAAGTTAAAAATCAAACTGTCAGTTACCATCATCTGAATTTGGCGGAAGAGTGATATAATATCTTTCATGTATTTCGTGAATGCTACTGGATTACAGTGAGCAGAAAGGATATTCATATACCTTTCATAATGTGCTCCACTGACGGTCACTCCCCACCCCTATTCCTTAACGCTTTGTTAAACAACTAACCCATAGCACATTGAAAGTTAGAATATAAAATGGCTGCAAATAAAACAGAACTACCTTGCAAACAGTGCACGTATTGCAACACAGTTACAAATGAATACAGACCGTAGCATATTTTTGCAAATAGTGAGGAAAAGTATATTGGCCATAGTCAAATATACAATGATACTAAGCTGTAAGAATGAAGCTCACCATGCCTAGAAGTGCTGTTCTCACTCCTCCAAATGCCACTCTCTTATAGACAAAATTCTCCAGCTACACTGACAATCAATGATTCTCTGAGATGAGTTGCCAGGTATGCGATCCATATTTATTTGTACTTATTTACCGAATAATTAATTAATATAAGTTATATGTAGGATTAGGGAGGGTGAGGGAATCAAGAAAGACGGGGTCCTTTTTCAAAAACTCATTGTGTGACAGAAGAGAGAGCAGACAAGTAAACATTAAGAGAAAGCAAGGTACACGATGTGCACACAGCAAATGTGATGGAGAGTAGTTACAGAGGAGTTGATCTGGATGAATTGCCCAGGGAAGGATTCTTTGATAAATTAGCATTAACATCGAGACTTGAATAATATGCATGAGCCAATTATTTGTTAAAGGTTTCAGCAAGTAGTCTCTAACATACGGCAAAGATAAATTACCTAATTTCTGCTATGACTGAACATTGTTTTAGATTCAAACTTTATTTCAGTAATGACTAATGCTATTGTTCTAGTTTGATTTCTATGGTTATGATAAAATACTCTGACCAAAAGGGACTTGGGGACAAAATGGTTTATTTGGTTTGTACTTTCAAGTCACAGCCTATCATTCAAGGAATTCAAGCAGATACTTGAAGAAGAAATGTGGCTTGTTGGCTCATTCCCAGGTTCATGCTAAGGAGTATTTGCATAGGGATGTGACTTCCCACAGTGGACATGGGCAGCTTATATCATTTGGCAAGACAAATGCCCACAGTCATGCCCACAGGCTTATCTGATGTAGACAATTCCTCAATGGAAGTTTTCCTCTCAGATGACCCTAATCTGTCAAATTGATATGTCAGGCTAACTAGGACAGTTATTGTTTCTCCACACTTATCCTCTTCTACTTATCCTTCAAATACACATTACAGCATTAAGTACAGATTTTTGTGTTATTCTAATGTCAGAGGAACAAAAAGTTTTCATTTTGTAAGGATGGCAAGTGCTTCCATTTCTAGGAAATCTAATTTTATCAAGCAGGCATGAATCCGAATCTGGTTTTTATTCACGATTATAATAAAGATCATCTAACTCCGTAATCATTCTATGAATTACTGGTACATACTCATCATTGGAGATACAAATGTAATTGTGACACAGATTCTAGTCTCAAAAGGCTTGCAGTCATGAAAGAGACAATAAAATCATAAATGATAATCACTATACAGAGACAAAGTCGTGATGGTAAAATGTATGGAGAACGGAATGTCTGGTAAGAATAACCAATGGAAGTAAAACTAAAATAAGTAGAAAAGATCGAGGAGAGAACAGCATGAAAAAAAGAAAGAGGTAATCAGAACTTTTTAAAAGAAATTTATCAATAATTTCTTAATGGTGAAAAATTAGCATAGAGATATAAAGATAAAAACAGCCCATAAAGCAGTGGTTCTCAACCCATGGGTTGCAACCCTTCTAGGGATCCCATGGCAGATATTGTGCATATCATATATTTGCATTATGATTCATAACAGTAGCAAACTTACAGTTATGAAGTAGCAACAAAATGATTTTATAGTTGGGGGGTCTGTACTACATAAGGAATTGTATTAAAGGATCACAGATTTAGGAAGGTGAAGAATCTCTGCCATAGTTTCCTTTGACATGGTAAGGAGGCTGTACTTCCTTCAGGAGATGCAATTCAGGTTTGAATTCTAAGAAAAGCTCGACACCAATTAGTCTTGGGTTCTGTTAAAGTCAACGTGGCAGTCCAATTACGAGTTACATTTGAGCTGCCGATGGAAAGCCCAAGTTGTTATTGCACTTTAAAGTTGAGGCAAAAAGATGTCAAGAACCTGAGAAGATGGCATTTCAATAACTAAAAAAAAAAAAAAGAAAAGTGACAACCAGGTGGTAAATTGATTGTAAGAAGTAATGAAATGGGACTTTGGTGGTGATACAGATAAAAGTGAATACTGGACTCGTTCTGGACTCTTTTTTTCACTGAAGATCATGATATGACAAGAGGAAAGCACACAGAGCATCATATCCAGAAAATCTCTAGTCATTTCACAACACATTGAGGTTTTTTTTCTTTCCTTTTCATTACAATGGACTATGACACATAGGGCAAAATTTCTTAAAGTACATTTTGCACTTGCTCTGTTAGCTTTTTGCACTATTTCAGGACATCTTAGGCTGTGATCCTACCTTTCTCTGGCCTTTGTGCATTAAAGTCCGAGTTGTAGCTTACCTTCCTCTCTTTGAACTTTCTCTTTGCCTCTGTCACTGTTTCTTGGAGTGCCTTTGTCTCTCTCCTGTGACCCAGCCTGGGTCATCTCTGAACTTCTTGAGACCATTGAAAACCTTAAACTGACTCAATTGTCTTGAGATTTGGATATGAAAAGAAGTAAAAGGAAAGTGTTCCAGCAAACACAACTGGCGGTTTAAGAAACAAAATAAATGGAATGCTTTTCTTAAATAGTAAAAATACAAAATACATTTGAGTTATATTTTACAAAGCCCAAAGAGTTATGCATTCTAATTCTATTAAGAAGCAGAAGAAAAAACAAGTTATAACAACATAATAGCTGATATTTATTTTATTTTTAGAACCCTTTCACACATTTTATAGCTTTTCACAATACAAATAAATTTTAGAGGATGTAACAACTGTAGTGTAGAGATGGTTATAAAAGAGAAAAGTTGAAATGAAAATATTTTGTTGCTATTCTATGTTAAATGTGTGAAGAATATTAACAAAGGGGAAAAAAACTAAAATGTAGACAAAAGAACACTTATGGTTAAAGAAATTTCAAGGCAAAGGGGGAGAAAAATAAAAAAAAAGCAGTAGGAAAGTAGTACATAAAAATTTCTAACTAAGTGCTCTTGGGTTCATGGAAAAGAAATACTAGATTTAGCCTTGTATCAAAGAAGGGAGTGATAAAGTATTGCTGGAACTAGATTATCAAGAGATGAGCATCATTTCTGGAAAACATTCTATGTAGAGTGAGAAATTATTATTATTGATGATGATGCAAGACAACAAGTTGTCCCCCTTGGGTACAGATCACTTTTCAAGAGGATCGCAGAAACGAAAACTCCAAAGGTAGCTGGAGCCAGAGTTTAGAAAGCTTGAACTCATAACCTAACGATCAAAATGTTCCTGAGCAGAGAAGTGATAGCTCATGTACACAAGAAAATTCGTAGCGTCTTTGTTGGTTTAAGGGCAATAAAGAGAAAGTAGACTCAAGGTTAGAGAAAACTAAGTGCAAATTTCAGATTGTGGCCATGGGGAAGAGGATGTCAGGCATGCATGTGAGATGTACTGTGAATGTAAACTAGAGATAGGATGTGCACAAGTTGAAAAAAAAGGTCTAAAATAGATCTCAAATTTTATATTCAAAGTGACCTGAAAGAATAACTAAAAATTTCAGAAAGATTTCAAGAGTTGAGTGTTTCACTGATGGAAGATAATGACTTCATTACATAACTTACATGGTGCCAGGGGATATAGTAAAGCTTTTAAGAAAATGAAATTCATGAAAAAGAATTTGAATTAAAATGCCTAGACTAAAAATGTATAATAAAATAAATGAAAGAAAACAAGTTCAGAGTCAGGGAATGAAACCCCAGAGCTCCAGTGAATGCTTCTGTGTAAAGAGGCTCAGCAGGGGAATCAGGGTTTGTGTCTTGTTAGCACTGTAACAAAGTGCTCTCAACAGTTTAGAGAAGGACTCATTACCAGTATGGCTTTGATAACTTTCAAGGGCTACAAGGTGTGGTAAATACTTGATGATCACACCACAATGTAACCATTACACAGAAAATCTATAGGAAATTTGGTAATAAGAGAAGTTGAGAGCCAAGCACTATTCGATGAGGGAATCAAGAGCATCCAATTTGGTTTTAGGAGTGAAGTGACTGGTAGCAGAGGGGAGGGTTTGGGGAAGGGATGGGAAGAGGGTGCTGAGAGTGCCTTTTGGGGCCGCAAAAATATCTTTGTGAGATACCAAGAGCTGATTTACTGGAAGCAGGCTAGGATCTCCTGATCAGGATTCCAAGGATGAGCAGAGAAAATGTATGAAAGCAAGGATAAACTGTCAAAAATTCAAACCAAAAGAAGGACAGCATAAAAGAATGGGATGTTGGGAACATGGGGACAACGAAGAGGCAGAATGTACTTTTGAGAGTCATGAATACAGTAAATTGAATAAGAGTCGTAAAGGAATGATTCTCTGATATTCTTTTTGAAATAATTAGAAGTCTCTAAGGGAAGAAACAAAGAGATGAATAAAGGCAACAATTGATGTATTAGCATGTAGTTCTGGTTATGCTTTTAAATAAGTTACAATACAGACTAAAGGACTGCCTAGAAGACTAGAAATAATTGATAATAGCGTGTCACTCATATCAAGGACAGTAAATCTTACCTCTCTCAGGGGATCATTAAGTTCATTGAGAATATTTTCTTCATCAAAGATCTTGCCTTGGTATCGGTGTTCATAGTAGTCATGTATCTTCTGGCGCATGTCAGCTGGTAACTTATGGAATGACATGTATTGTTCCACTTGCTTATACTAAAAACGAAGGAAAAAATAGAAAACACTGTTAGGCCATGCTAGAAGTCATCCTATGTGCTGTTGCACCACATTCAATAACACTGGAATACTCTGTAATAAAAAGAGTAAATCCTTGCTGAGGCAGGGACTAGAGCACCAAGGTCTAACGTGCTTATGGGTGTCATACTGTATAAGGCATTTTATGTAGGTGACCATATCCTGAAAAGAATGAGATGTGGAGAAAAGGCATGACAGGAGCTCAGGGTGAATTTTGAACTGTAGCTCTGAGACAGAAATGATGGAGCCGGTATTAAGAGCAGCTGGTAGCAAAAGGCCGTGGGTGTATACAGCAGGGGACAACTATTGTTCAAAAGGTCAACCTATCAGAACCAAGGGCTCTGGTAGAGGACTCAGCCATCACACAAGGTGTGTTGGAGTTATTGCCTTTTGAATGAATTGGCTGTTTCTTGTTGTAAACTTCTTATGCAATTACAGCTATAATGTCTCCCCATTACCATGCATTTTCATAAAATGTGTGTGTGTAATCTCATGATTACATCTCAATCTTATGGGCACATATATCTGTGGGTGGTCAGGAAGATGGCTTTTCATTCGGCTGTATCATTTTGATATATAGAAAATATACTAGGACATGCTTCATAGCCGGATCCATTGTCCCATGAGACTGTGGACACTTAAAGTCTGCTTTATTCCTTTTGCTCAGACTAACACAGAAAGTAATAATCTCTCCTCAGTCTAACAGAAACTGCACAAATTTAGCTCATTTTTACCTCAAAGCAAGTCCAAACTAGAGTAAAGGATTTTGTATATAGATCATAAGTTTGAAACTTTACAGTTATGCACAAGGTCAGAGTCACAGGTGTCTCACCAAGGCAACTAACACAAAACACCCTAACAACAGCCTCCTTATTCTTCACTTGACAAGTCTTCTGATAAAAAGCAATGATAAAAAGCAATGATAAAAAGCAATGTCTCAGTTTGTCGCACTGGTCACTGAGCCTTCTCCTCTGGTCCTGAGACCTTGGAACCTTGTGTTACTATGGTAATGGCTCCTTGTCCTCTGTTCTAGGAATGTGCTATGACCTTGAGGGCTTTGAAATTTTTCTGAGGATTGCAAGGAGTCTCCTGCTAGAAATATAAGGAGTCAGGCAAGAGAAGAGCTAAGAATGAAGCTGAAAAGAAGCTGTAGATTTAGAGAAGCAGCAAAAAAAAAAAAAAAAAAAAAAAAAAAAAAAAAAAAAGAACAGCAGAGAGATCTGGGGCAGAGCTGAAGCTACTTAGAACAATAAAGTGATGGACTGAAAGAGCATAGTGTGCATAGATTTATTGATATACCCTCAGATAAGTAGATTCATTTGATATTCCTAAGATTAGAATTCCTGCTGCTTGTAGCGCCTTCCCCGAACTCTGGGAGAAAGTTTTTCAGGGCAGGCACCTGAAGGGCTTTTGATAGGTCAGAATAAAATGAGGTGGGGTGGGCTCTAGGCTTTACTAGTTGAGTTGTGGAAGAACTCAAGACACTCTTGGTTGACATTTGAGAGAGAAGTCTAGTAACTTTTCCTAGCACAAAGAGCTGTATCTTAAACCTCTGACTAAGATCTGAACCTAGTTAAAATTTGAATCTAGACACAAAAAACTTGACCATTCTTTGAAGACCATAGTTTCTTAAGTGACAAAGATTGCTGGAGGAGAATATCAGTAGGAGACTAGTTCTACAGTATTTTTATAGGCAGAGTTTAACAGATATTCAATTTCATTTAAGGGACTAATTCTAAAAATTGATTGTTTCTAAGACCTAGGGAGGAGAAGCTTTGGGAAAAGCTAATGATTGCATGTAATCCTAGAGATGTCTTCATTCAAGTGTCTTTTATTTTTGCATAAACACATACAAAATTCTGCTAAGGTAACTACTCAGCTCACCAAATAGGAGCATTTGAACACAGATATTTGAGAAACTATTGGAAGAGAAGAATTACAGGCATCGAATCCATATCTTTAAGAATAGTTCTTCTATGGTTCATATATACATTAAACTTTGGGAGGCATTCTCCAAGTATTCTTTTTTTTTTTTTTCCCGAGACAGGGTTTCTCTGTGTAGCTTTGTGCCTTTCCTGGAACTCACTTGGTAACCCAGGCTGGCCTCGAACTCACAGAGATCCGCCTGGCTCTCTGCCTCCCGAGTGCTGGGATTAAAGGCGTGCGCCACCACCGCCCGGTTCTCCAAGTATTCTTAATGCAGACATTCAAAAATACTATAGTTTGTATACTATATTTATGCATCCATATTTATCTATTAATATCTATCTCTATCTCTATTTATCTATCTATATCTATCTCTATATCTATTAAGACAGGGTCACTGCAGTCCTGGACTGGTTTGACCAGCCCTATTTTGAACTCACATATATACACCTCCTTCTGTCTCTCAAGTGCTTGGATTAATGGCATGTGTCACAATATGTGGTTCCAAAACAGCAAATTATTTTCACTGCAGTGATGATAGAATCAATATAAAAAAATTAGGTTTTTACATAGGGTAATGTTACTGAGATGATTCTTTCATTAAATAAAACACAAATGATATGTTTTCTATCTTTTTCTGATGAGAGAGTCCTGGCTGAAAAGTCTATGTCTCTTTATTGGGTACACACAGTTACAGAACCTGCAATTAGTGATTGATGGCAAGCATCACTAACTGAGAAATTTTAAGTATCAAGTAACTACAGTCTTTCACTATTTTCCTACATAAAACAGGAAATCCTTTAATAGTTTATCCAGAGATTCAGTTTTGTCAACTATTACCCTAAACTGAAATATCACTTTCTCACAAAAAATTTCTTCATTCAATAACTATACCATTTTTCATTGAAAAAGAAGGATGAGGAGGAGGAGGAGGAAAAGGAGGAGAAGCCGCCTGTTTGAAATGTTTAAAGCCAAGAAACCTGCATGCTGGCATCTACCCTTCTGAAGCAACATGACATAACATTTTGATCTTATGTGTCAACTCTTCACTGCCATTGTGTATAACTGATTAATAGTTGAGGAAAATATTCATTAAACTTTGATGGAGACATCAAACTTGTATATTCTCTGATAGCCTCCTTCAAAGGATTTGGGATTTGTTCTTCTTCCTCCTTCCTCCAAGCTGTTGGGGCACAGAAGCTTCAGTGACTTCTCTATCAGACTCTATGCAAGATAATGTAGGTAGCTAGATTAGAATCTGTCTTTATTTCTAGAAACTTCCTTGGGCAAAAAAAAAAAAAAAAAAAAAAAAAGGTTTGGAATTCTGTGGGATAATCTTGATTGTAACTTCCTTACTAGAGATGCATACCTAACCCCAGGCGTTTTGGCATTTAAGCCGCCAGAAACTCAGCAAGCCTCGATTATAAAAAAATGGATATTCTCATGCATTAAACTTTGGGAGGCATTCTCCAATAACTCATGGAGAATTTATGCTGTGGAAGGACTCTTGGATTTTGTGTCCTTGTTAACATTGTCTTTCTGCAGTTTCATTGTGTCCTTTAATTTTAGACAAAGTTTTGTGGAATATAGTCTGCAGTCCAGTGAGTCCTGAAAATATTTTACATTAGAAAAAAAATAAACAAAGGGTTGGCTTCCAAGACTCTTACACTCACTAATATGTAACCACAGATGTGTGATTAATGCTGGCCCAATCATGGTTTCATTCTTTCTTTAGTCATCTCTGTTTTCATTCCATAATGCACTGGTGCCCAACTGCTCAAAACATTAAAACTGTAACCTTGAAGCATATGATACTTTACATGTCTTATTCCTTGCCATGCTTCTCAGGCAGGTGAAATGCAGAAAAAAAAAAAAGTAGTATTACTTTACTTGGTGGAGCAAATCAATGCCTATTTGTTAAGCCTACATGCATAAGGAAAATATCTGCTTTTTTGTCCATTTATGGAATGGAAAATTGACACTCAGCTACAAGAGAGCATTATGCATAAAAATTTTATTGTCTTGGTTAAATATAGTTACATTTTCTCTCAAATGTCACTTTTTCTGTACTCCAGATTACTAACTTAAGATGGTAGTCAGTTGAATGACTTCTTATTTTATTGATCCAACATTATATGGATATTTATACATTTATTTATTTCCCCCCTTTTTATTAAGAGATTTTCTATTCATTTTGCATATCAACCACAGATTCCCCTGTCCTTCTTCCTCCAGCCCCCCAGCCTTCTCCTTCAACCTACCCCCCCATTCCCAACTCCTCCAAGGCAAGATCTCCTGTGGGGAGTCAGCAGAGATATTTATTATAGCTTACTCAAATTGAGTTGTTTGTTTTTTTAGTACGTATTATTTATTTTAATAATTCACTTTGCCTAGTAATTATTTGTCTAACAATTGCAAAATGATTTATTTGGAAAACAATCTATTCACATACATAGGTGTGTGTCTGTGTGTGTGTGTGTGTGTGTGTGTGTGTGTGTGTGTGTGTGTGTGTATACTATTGTGAGTATCAGGATGTCCAGTGTCTATCTATTGCTCTCCACCTTACAGCCTTTAGGCAGGGTCTCTCTTTGAATGACAACTTCTCATTGTATTTAGTCTTGCTGGTCAGTGAGCCCTCTGTATTACCTGTTTCTCTTCCCTAAGGCTGGGATTACAGCACATGCCTGGATTGTTATGCCAGAGGTAGGGATTCAAACTGGGGTCTTCATTCTTGTAGAGTAGGAGTTATTACCTAATGATCTATCTCCACAGTACTGGATCAATTGTTAAAACATCATCAAACGCCACTAGCAATTAGAAAACAAATTAGAAATATGTTTGTAACCTCTCCCCAGATCTCCTGAATCCGAAATCTACATTTAGGACACAGCAGGTTGAAGTTTAACAAACATTAAATTTCCAATGTCCCATCTCTATGACAAGTACAGGTTATCTTAGGACATGAGGAAGCATATCTGAGTGTGAGCAAGGAAAAATAAATTCAGTTTTTGGAAAGCTAAGTTTAAGTGGCTGAT